TTTACAAAGCTTTTAAAGATTTTAAAGAAAAAAAGTGAAAACTCTTATACGTCACTCTTATAACCTCTTTGTGGTAAAATGGTTCATACATTGCTGTAAAGTAAAGTGCAGTTGCAGATGGTCACATCTTGAGTCGCTCACTGTAGGGGATCAGACACATGGTCCAAATGTGCTAGTCAATGAGGGAGTGACGGTGCCAGCCAAGGTCAACTGTCATGTCATTCATTTTGCATTCCCTTTTTGGTTCCATGTATTGCATGGCTTCAGGTTGAATTCACCAACCCCCTCCCTGACTCTCTCGTCTCCTCTTATGAGCCCGCACATCCCTTCCTCCTTCCTTCATACTCCCATTATACCCTCACCGGGGTATAATGCCAAGGAACTGTGTTAAGTTTCGACTGTTTATTGATGAGTTGTTCATTTTCCCTGAAAACACTAGAACATCTTCTCCCTCTCAAAACGGAGCCTGTTTTTTTCCGTCCGATTATACGTTCATTTTGTTATTATTTCGTTCACATTTTTACTTTGCTAATTCTTTGGCTTTCCATTTACGGAGTTGCAGAACTGTGGATGAGTGTGGTCTGATCACACGATCCACGTCAGTCCTCCTCCTCCCCTCTCTAGAGTGTCAGGATTGTAAAAGAGTCGAAGTAAGACTTTATGTACATATTCTCACCCAGTCTATATACCAGTGTCCTCTTTCCTTGTAGAGCGCTGTGGGTGCGTGAAAGCACTGTTCTGACTCACAGCCAAGATGGAGATGGAGAGCGGACAGGAGACGCCATGTTAATTGTGATAAGTGCTAAAATTAGCAGGGTAGTACCATTCAGTAGCTTTAGTAGTCAAGGTGGGTGGTGATGGTTGGAAACCAAACGCGCTCTTCCAGAGAGCACAAATAATTGTTCTACATATACTGTATATTTATTTTAGGATAGGAAAAGTGGTAGAGCAGAGCCCGACCCCAAAAAGAAAGCCTCTTTTAGGTCCATCAGTACCAACCTGGCCTCCAACATCAAGAGACGTAGGTCGTCCAAAGACACGGTAAGAAGATTAAGAAAATGACGCCCTGCCTGTACTTCTATCTTCTCGCTCTCTTCCTCTTTCTTTTCCTCCTCCTCGGCCTGCCCTGTTTCTTTCACTCTCTTCCTTTCTCCTGTCATCTCATCTCTCCTCTCCAAAACAAACGTCTCATCTCAGACTCTCTTCACCCTCACACATGGAGTTACAGTCATGGCCACATGTCTGTCAGTCAGCCATCTATACTCCATCCAGACATCTGTTGGGAAAGCCCAATCAGGGATCTAGCTGCCAAGGAAAGTGTGGAGAGGGAACCGAGGAGCAGATTTTTGGGGGGCTTGTGGGTTTGACCTTGCAGGAGGGGGCGAGGTATAGCTTCTCCTTCTTAGCGCCTGTGCTGGTCTTTCTCCCGTGCCTAACCTGGATGTGACTTTACTTTATGCTCTTTTCTTTTTCCCTTTCTTTATATGTACTCGTGTGTCTCTCCTCTCACCGCTTGGTCCTGTAACGGTTATTTCCATGTACCTCATCCTTCTTTTATTGTCCCATTTTATGTGGTTGCTGTCACAAAGTCACCCTGTATGCCTCCCGCGATGCACGGTATCACCATTAACAGCCAAAGACGAGCGACGCTAAAATAACCTGGGCTGTTCCTCCGGCAGGCCTGCACTACCAAGATCCCTTTATTTTAACCATCCAATGTTTTCTTTGCAGTTCTATGAATTAAAAAAAAAAACACTTTTCATTTTCAGGAAACGCTGCTCAGATGGGTTTTGGGTTTACGTTTACAATGTATTGAACTCTCAGAGTTAGATTCCCAAATGAGTTCGTTCACACAAACGCCTCCACACTGTTTCTTCGGTCCCACAGGTTTAATAAGACATAGCTCTCAAACAGCTACTGGCTCTGAGGATTCATACAAACAAATGTGCAAGCACAAACTATTACATTGCATTACTTTAATTGGTTTAGACCGAATTTTTATTCAACTGAACGCTAGGCATTTTCTGGGTATGGCAATGGTTGACCTGGGGCTTTGTTGCATGCACCCTCAATTTGAGAGATTATTCTGATTAGCAGCTCGTTTAGTTGATGGTTTACAAAAAATATCCAAATCCATGTAGCTCACAATTCAGTTGGTTTCTCCTTCAGTAGGATGGTTTGAATCATTTACAGAGGTCAGGGTGCAAAATGTGTTTTTTTTTTAATCCGATATGATTTCAAAATACATTTTCCAAAGATGAAGGCAGAATAGGAGCAGATTAAAGACACACAGTCTACTAGCTAAACAGTGCCAAAAAGTCTTTTTGAACTGATGTTTACCCATCACAGTCCTAATCATCCTTTTCTTTTCTATCAGTGTTTTTTATAAATGGATTTGAATGGTGTTTTGAATGTCGGTGTCCACACCACATGCCACACTGCCTCTCTCTTCCTCTACCAGCATGACCCTTCTGGTTGTTGTAGAATAGAGCTCTAAAGCTGTTCCCCTGTTTGTAGGCAGGGGGCGCTGTGGTTATGACTCAGAATTGACTTGGAACACCATAAACAATGTTGTTATGACTGCGGGTATCACAACACCCACTAAAGCCACTTCTTTTGATATATATCCAAAACTATATCCCATAAACGTGATTGTAAATTAATCATTTTCAACGTTGTAGCGAATAAAAGGGACAGTTCACCCAAAAATTTAAATCTTATCCTTTACACGTAACCTGTATGATTTTATTTCTTCTGCCAAACGCACACTTAGATATTTTGAACAATGTTTTAGCCCATTCATTGAAAGTCAGTTGGGTCCAAAACAACGCTCAATTGACTTTCATTGTGTGGGGGGGAAAAACACTGGGACATTCTTTAAAATATCTTCTTTTGTGTTCCACAGAACAAATAAAATCATCCAGGGTTGGAATGACGATATGGACGAGTGTAATATTTTCCTATGTGGAGAGTATCACAATAAATAAACCTTTCAGTATAATAATACTATAGAATCAGAGAAATTGAGAGCTATTGAGGGTGAAACCTGTGTCGAACTGGAATGAACTGCACCTTGTGCTGCATATCAGGTCCGGCTGTCATATTTCATTAGGACAGTTACTATGGAAACAATACTTCTAGGTCAGGTAAATTATTAGCCGTGGGCCTAGAGACAGAGCGCTCTCATCTGTGCCATTACAGGCTTCTTGTGCAGACATTTTCGAATGTGATATACGGTGCCCGTTTAAGAAAGCATATTCATTTAGGACTGTAAGCGTGAGCAATGATCCTTCAAGGAAGCAATTGTGCAGTAATGAATCCGTGACCTTGTTCACGCTATTTATCTTACAACGCAGTCCGAGGAGGCCTGTCTGTTTTAAATCACAGACAAATTATTCTAGATGACAGATAAACATGGCTTGCAGTGGGTGGAGAGATCGCCTCCATCATAACAACGTGAAATATATACCGGTCACGGGAGGAACAGTGCATATTTAGGATTATGCAAATATATATGCTCTTACTTTCCCTTTTTCTGTTTCCTCTTCATCTATAGCCATATCCTACGGACATTACCGGCCAGCTCAACCTGTCAGACCCCTCTGTGAGCACAGTGGTGTGAAAGTGGAGAGAGAAAGAGAATTTGACAGGCAAAAAGAAAGAGAGAGACAGGAAAAGCAGGAGGTGTTGGGCTCTGAAACAGACCGCTTGAGACAACACCTTCAGCACCGTCATTTGAGCAAAATCCACCTCGTCTCAGCATATGCACACTGGATATGAAACTTATGGACACGCTGTGCCAAATTCAACCACACTGGAGCAAATTCACACTGCCACACAGTTCACACCAGACCAACACATTCACACACTCACACAAAGTGCTTCACTTTTTACAATTTTTTGCACATATCTAAAGAGTTTTTTTGTGAAATATGTAAATATATATTCAGATTTCTGTTTCTCCACATTAGGTCATCATCCAGTCAATTCAGGCATAATTATGATTCATACAGTACATATGTATAATATGTCTTTCTACCTCCACCTAAGATATATGTAGCTTATCTCAACACTTTGGTAGTGTTTTGATGTTTTCCCATTTGAAAAGAGCAAACACAGAACTTATCTTTGACTTCTTTGTATATTTAGATTTGAAAAAGTAGGTTAGGGTAGAAATTGTGTTGCTATAAATACTACTGTAGGTGAAAGTTTGGTGCATTTTGATCATCGTTGCACTTTGCTGTACACTTTGTTTCTCAATATGCGATTCTCTCCCTTCACTGCCGTTTTCAGAACACTCTCCTGAGGTTGTCCAGGTTGCTTTGGACACATACTGTGGATCTTTTTTCGCTACTTTATTTATTTATGTTTTTAATATTTTGTACAAAAATAATGATTTTTTTAAAGATTATCTGAATATCAGCATATTATATGGGGTCTATCCAGCCAGGGGCTAAATGTAGCAGATCCAACCTTGTTTATCATAAAAGTTTAAAGACAAAACTTCAAACGAACGAAAGGAACCCGCTTATGATAAAGAGTGGCGTAGATGTAATGAAGCAAATATTATTACAGGATCTTTTGAGCTTAATGTTGAACCTTGCTTGAAATTCCCTGTAATAATTTCTGTGTTATTGTGTGAGCTGGTAGCTAGCATCTTTTAGCTACCACAATGGGGACCTTTCCTCACATTATATATATATATTTCATCATGTCATTATAATATATGAGCAGTAGGCTATTATATTTTGTCTGTGTGAAATAATAACACTAGATGCTATTTCCATAGTTTGTTGTCAAGGTTTTGCTCTGTGGACTAGTTAAATGGTTACCGGCAAAGGTGGTAATTTATAATACGAGTCGGTCGTCTTTTTCTGTGGGCTTTTAGAAGTATACTGACCAATAATAGGCGTATTAGATCACTGTATAGATCGTTTGTCTCAAACAGTCAATCTGAGGGCTTTGCTAACTATTGTGAGAAGTTTAGAATGTGAACTATGCGTACTGTAACAGTAAGTTATGAAACTGTTTTATAAGATGAACACATTAATTTGAGAAAAATATGTTTTAGATTAAAATTTAGAGTTTTTATAGAAAAACATTAGATTCATGGTTCAGGGTTTGGTGGTCTTTGCTTGAAAATATTATGCTGGGTTGGGTTCAGCAAGTGTCTGAAGTCCAGTTTTACTGTGAACATGACTGTGAACTGCTTTGTGAAATTCATTATGAAGCGTGTAACACGTTAAAAGTAGATACACAAATTCTCTATAGATTCATAATCAATCCTACATAGAAAAATATATGCTGCCATATGCACTGCTGTGTCCATCAAGCTAATATTTGATCATATAATTGGAATCTGTGTGGTGGAAACCCACGATGGTGGCAGGGAATAAATTAAAGTGTGCGGCCTGAAGTACTTGTGAGGCTCAAGAGGAAGCACATCTTTGACAAACAAAGCAATGTAACCCATTCACTGTTGTATGCAAACATGCATTATTTATAAAGCTTTAAAATATTGCAAGGCCGTTTAAATCTACTTTCACCATATTTCTCGACCACCAAATGTGCTTTCAATGACTATTCCAATACTGTTTGTGCAAAAAAACAAACAAAAAAAAACTTTGAATTCAAACAAAGATATATGTTAAAAAATGTATAACTGCTATACTCCAGTGTGCCAATAAAATATATATCAAATAAAAAAAAATGAAACCTGGATTGAATAACTTTATGCTCACTGTTCTCTCTCTACCCTACTTTTGTTAGAAAGATTAAAGTTTCAGAAAATCAATATCTTCATAATTATTTAATAAAAGAGCACTAGAAGTGGTAGGCGACTGTTTGAGAAACATAGAAAATCAGATATGAGGATTCACTACAAGATTAAGAGCAAAGGTCAGCCGGCTCTCTTCTGTAATTAACTGTGAAATTTCACATTGAATGCCCTATATTTTTTATTTTTTTCTTTGTGAGTGCACTACTGAATATTTGGTTAAATACCAAACGCATATTGTATTTACATTACTATTTTTGATGTGAATATTTTATACGTGTTGTATGTGTTATGTATCACATATAATATTTAATGGGTTTACCACCATTAACAAAATTCATCACTCAGAATTCAGTACATTCAGTCACATTCATTATTCAAAAAGATATGAAATATGCCACAATAATGTTTATCATCAGTATCTTGGCACCACTCTGCTCTCATGGGGATATTGCACAGCGTGAGAGCACGCACAGCCATTTGTTTCACTGTCACGATCAAGGCAAAAAACAACTGACTAAATCTATTTTAATCTTTCAGGGCTTTCTGAAATATGTGGAAGCAGTTGTGAGTTTTCATACAGTAGGTACAAATAATGTACTGTGGGGAATATTCATTCATATCTACAGCCACAGTCTGATGCATGGAAAGTAGAATTTTTTAAACCACAGAAAATTAATCATCTTTGCACAATCCGCCTCTCACATTAAACAGACATGGTCACAATCTGGTGTGGAGAAGGTGTTGTGCCAAGACAGGAGAGGAGGAGCTGTTCTGAATCTGTTTGTTTTGACATTTTGAGCAGAAGTAATCCAAACAGGAGTGCAGGTCAGTGAATGGACAAACCCTGGGGCATCGTGCAACCTGATGCTTGTTTGTCTTCATAAGCTAGCAGTCGTACAGCTTCTACATCAAGTGGCAAGGTAGGCTTTTATTGGTGTTTGTATTGGATTTGTGCTGTTTTATCGCTGCCATGGTAGAAGAACCAGTATATTTACCTCTCACCTATTTACCTTAATGTGGCATTTCAGTAAACTAGGGTGTTTTTGATGCACCCCTCAGTCAAAAAAGCCATAATACATGTCTAGTTTATTTAAAAAAAAAAATATATATATAACTCTTCTATTTAGAGTCTATTTCAGGTCATTTGTTGGTTATAAACTTGATCAAAATAGGCTATGTTGGCATATAAGGATTGGATTTAGTATCCAGTCAATATAAGATATTTATATGCATTTCAATGTTTGGGAATGTTGAAAGTAAAGCCTGCCAAGCTACAAATGAATCATAATTTGAAGCAGTTAAACTACAGTCAAGCTACTGTTTCGAAACAGTAGTTAGCTACACTACAAGCTACAAACAAAAAGTAGCTAACTACATTAAAGATACCAAGGGGAATGTTTTTATATATACAAAAATAATAATACAATAATTATATATAATTTAATCAGAGCCATAAAGACATTATTTTTTAGAATGATAGTAGTAAACTTCATACTGAATAACTGCAACAAAAACACCCGAATTTACATAACCAATTCGTAATTATAGTAACAGTACAGGGAGTCTGAATGAACTGATTAATTTAAAGGGTTAGTTCACCCAAAAATTCTGTCATTAATTACTCACCCTCATGTCGTTCCAAACCCGTAATGACATTCATCTTCGGAACACAAATTAAGAAATCTGAGAGCTCTCTAACCCTCCATAGACAGCAAGGATACTTCCATGATCAAGGCACAGAAACGTAGCAAGGACATCAGTAAAATAGTCAATTCCACCAAGGGGTTCAACCGTACGTTTACAAAGCAGCAAGAATACTTTTTGTGTGCAAAGAAAACAATAATAACATAACTTATTCAACAATTCTTCTCCTCGAGTTACCATCTTCCGCCATTTTGGAGAGTACCCCTGGCCTGAACATAATCAATGTAATCAGTGTTGTTTACGTTCAGGATAAAGCATGTGCATGCTGAACGTAAACAACGCTGATTACGTTGAATACGTTCTGGGGTACTCTCCAAAATGGCAGAAGACGGTAACTCGGGGAGAAGAACTGTTGAATAAATTATGTTAGGCCTATTATTCTCTTTGCGCACAAAAATTATTCTCGCTGCTTCATATACTTATGGTTAAACCCCTGAAGTTACATGGACTATTTTACTGATGTCCTTGCTACGTTTCTGTGCCTTGATCATGGTAGTATCCTTGCGGTCTATGGAGGGTCAGAGAGCTCTCAGATTTCATCAAAAAATATCTTAATTCTTGTTTCAAAGATGAACGAAGGTCTTACGGGTTTAAAACGACATGAGGGTGAGTAATTATTGACATTAATTATTATTAATGTGAACTAACCTTTTAAAAAGTCGTCGTTCTAAACCCTGAAACATTTCACACTTGTAATTTAATATGGAGGTTAGCATCGCTTTTTACCCTGGGGTTATGAAACCATACTTTGGAAAAACAACACTATTAAGAAAATAAACGAACTTTCACACCACTGAAAATGTAGTTAATTTATACCCTAACACGAATTCTCATGAATTCTGTATCTGAAAAGATTGTGTTTGCATATTTATGACAGACAAAATCACAAAAGCCCTAGCCAGACCTGTGCAACATGAACTGCAACATTCATCTAATCTCTGCGGCCCTACCACTGGTTTTTCCCACAGCAGGCAGCTTGTAAGAATCTCTGAGTACTCCCCGTACAATGAGCACAGCACAAACAAAAGATTTCGTCGTGTCTCTGTATCCACATCAGCGCCCAGGATCTGTGCTGAAGAGATCTCTGTGGAGGTACACACATCTCACTGATGAGAGCTGTCAGAACGGATGCTTCCTGGACAAACAGCGCCTTCTGCTGGGCAGCCTGGTAATACTGGCCCTGTGTGGCATGGTGCTGCTTCTGCTGTGGAACTACCAGTGTTTCATAGTTAACCACATGTGCCAGGACCCAGAGCACAGTTCGGAGTATGTGCTGTTTGATATGGATCAGCAAAGGCTTTCTTCATATGGACCAGCCTGAAGCTGTGATGCTGAATAAAGCAGCTTATAAATATATATATATACACTGTATACTGTAGTAAT